TTAATTATATCAAAGCGGATAGACTTCTGTAAAGTGATGCTGAGCGTAATGGATGATGTTTGCGCTCTATCCAGGGCTCTCTGATTGCGACTATTGAAAACTTAGAAAGTTTTTTTTTTAATGGAAAATGGCTCGTTTCTAGAATTTGCTTGCGAACTGAGAAATAGGGCGTCGAAATCGTTTCATTCGTTTTCAATAAGGCATCTATTGCATTCTGTTAAATCCAACATACAAACCAGTACGGGTAAAACTAACACACACAATCACTTTAGTGGGCCTTTAGTGGTTTAAGTTTGACGAGTTGGAGAATACAACTCAAAAAATGTTGAAACGAAAATTCAGTATAAAATACTTACCATGAAAATTAAACCATGAAGAAATCCAGTTTACATGTGATGCTTTGTTGCAGTGGTGAGGTACCATGTCGTTAGAAAGTACTGATTCCTTATGTTCGTAGCAATCACACACGCCATCATCGTCGACAGATTCGGCACCAACAACAGCTGTTTTTCCATCATACAGGGAATGAGGATTAACGCCTATAAAGGAAATGGTGCTAATGGATTCAAATACATAAGGAACAAAATAGAAATGAAAACCACTCTTGTTACGGCGAAAAACAATTTTACACACAATTTGAGCTACTGATTTATTAACCGTGGCCATAAAAAAGGGGCGAAAATATTAATGAGAAATTCAATTTTATAAATAATTTTGTAAATAAAATATTATTTAATTGAACATAAGTTTCATTTCAGAAATGGGGATTATTATGATAGTACATTGTCGAAATATTGGAATTGAAAAACTGCTTTAAAATTTGTTTGACGTATATGCACATTGTTTATATTCCAAATTCTTTTTTCTTTACTAACAGGATCATAGTCATGGTGGGCTGAAGCACCTAACGGAACAACAATAACCGTGATTAATGCCGTGCGTCACTTATATCGATGTTAACGTTATATAATAACCAATTTAATTTTTTTCACAATTTTTTATTTTTGAATGAGGTTATCTTAGGGTGACTTTTAATGCGGTTTTAACTGAACCATAAATGTTTTGTAAAACAAAATTCATCAAAGTGAATTAAAACTTTTTTAAAGTCTGTAAAATATCCAAGTGATTTTTGTTTTATTTCAATAGCGATCAGATTCTGAGTGAAAGAAGGTGAAAAATGTCACTGGAAGTTCACCGAGAGTATGGAACCATAAATGTGTTTACAGCTACCCATAGCAACCGTGACTATGGCTACGATAATCGTGGCAAACATGGCAAAACGGAGTGACGAGGCAAGATTGTGAAGGTAAAGAGGGTGGAGCTTGTTGTGTGGAACGCGGTAGCGGGAGAAATGGGGCGTCAGGGAAGGTTTGGGACAGGGCAGGCAGAACAGTGCGGAGTGGGTACGGGTTGGGCAGGAAGGGTTATAGAGGGTACACACTCAGGACTCAATTCTTTTCTTCCAATAGATTATTGTGATTAACAAATACCTGGACCGGACAGTTTACTTCATCTAGTAAATATTATCGTAGGCATTCATATCCTTCCGAGAAAAATATAACAAAATTTTGTAAACGGGCTTTTTAAAACATAAAAGGATGCCGGTATTAAACGGGTCTTAAACGTTCCCCAAAGCAAATTCTGCCCCTGTAGAAAAATGTTGATTCCATTGCTTACCAGCATCAGCAATAGCAGAATATACATGTTCTAAAAGCCGCCTAATGGAAGGTTCTAACATATTTGCATCTTCTTCCTTGAAATTGAAAAATTCCGCATCAAACTTGCTCCAAGTCTTCACTTTACCCATACGGTGAGGCATGTCAGGATTATCTGCAATTTAATATTCAAATTGAATGTAATGTCTGGAACAAAAATCTGAATTACAAAAAGTAAAGTTTTGATCACCTGTATTCCAGTATTTCTTAGACCATATCTTCAGATCTTCTTTGTTAAAAAGCCTATCCTGAAGCTCTTGAAAGTCATCACAATTGGGAAATTGACCAGATATCCCTGAAATGACTATGTCTCTCGTGTCCATTAATTCTTCAAGATTCAGTTTCTGAACCATGGTCACAGGATTCTGAAATGCAATAGAAAATGCAGTTTTACAACCTTCTGAATGTTCTCTCGATTAACCTATCCATTGATAGATTTTAGTGATAAGTTTCAAAGCAACTTATCAATGCAGGATGTTTGCCGAACAAGAAAACTTATTCTCAGTGGTTGGTTTATAAAACATTTGATTTATAAAAATGTAATGTCCCGGAACTCACCCCTAAGTCATTATTAATTTAATAGAAAAAATAAATAATATAATATAATAATAATTAATAATTATAAACCATACTTAAACACATTAGTGATAGCACTGGCTCTATGTGACTACAATAATAATAATAATAATAATAATAATAATAATAGAAGAAGAAGAAGAAGAAGAAGA